TTAGACGGCTGAGATGTAGTGAGATCGGATACTTGTGGGGACATGTGCAGGTATATGATTGGATTAATTAAGTCAAGGCTCATATCATATATAATGATCGAAGATTTAGAGGCTCAATCTGTTAATGTGTTAACTTACAATAGACGTAGGTAGCGGTTACTCAAGTAAACGGATCTTAGTTAGCAAAGATGAATGAATATATACGTGCATACATTAAACGTATATAATCTAAGGGTGAGATAATAGACGGTCATGACTTGACGAAGAAATTCTGGATTTTTGGGAGACGTCAAAATTCTGCAAAACTTTGTAACTTTGTTTCAATTTAGAAGAAACTGATTGTAATTTGATCGTTCTGACTTGTGTGACAAATCAACCTCTGTACTTCAAACGAACACTAGTGGAATTACTTCAACTGGGCGTGGCCCCGTGATTTTTTTCCCTCTTTCAGGTTTTCCACGTAAAAATCCTGGTGTTCATTTTTTCCTTTCATGTTTGTGTGTGCTGAATATTCGTACAACGCTTGGACGTAAAATTATAAACTCTACCGCCGCGTATATTCTAACCCGCAATATATATATATATATATATATGAAATGATTTATGCTTAATACTTAAATAAGAAGATTATTTCTTCAACATCATGGATTTATGCCGTATAACGATTATCAGTGACTATTTAGTAAAAAAAAGTATAAAAATAGTAAAACTTGACATGTAAGATAATTTTCAAGAGTTTATTATGTCAATTTTTGACTTAGCCTTCATTTGGGATGGCTTTCTTAATTATTTGTAAAGCTGTTATCGATAAAATAACTTTTTAAAGTTGTTATACAAAATAGCTTTCTAATACCAAAATATTTTTAAAGCAACGAAAAAACAGTGGCCAAATAGAAATTGTGGTTACAATATTAAAAATAAAGCAATAAAAAAAATGTCCCAAACAAAGTCTTAGACTATCTTTTTTTTTTTTTTTCACCTATCCCGAAAGTCTTTGATATTATCTAATTTGAACTATTAAGATAACAAAATTTGTAGTTAATTTTTTTTAATAAGAGAGAATGTATAGTTATTATTCATATGTAATTTAGTTAGGGTTTTGCATTCTCTTACAAATATAAAAACTTGTTGTAGCTATTATATTTATAGGGTAATTTCTAAAGTAAATTAACACAGCTTATACTGATCATCTCTGAAGCCAACATGGCCAAAGCTCCTTATGCCTCTCTCCATTTAACTAATTATTGCTTAATTTGTTGGAACCTCTAATAAGCTTTTGCTAGTATTCTACAGAGCCCTGCATTAGGTACCCATACTCACACTCACCCATGTGCCCACCCATACCCAATGGGCATGGGTGGGTATGGGTACGCTCATGACATCGTGGGTGGGTATGGTGGGTACTCAACATCAAAGGACAACCGATTTATATTTCTAATTATCATATACATGCAGTATATTATAATAATCCTTACTACGCAATGTGCAACACTGACGTGGGTGCAACACTGAACCGCGTCACAACCATGATAAATTTTGATATGTGGCTTGAAAGTTTGCAGTCAGAGAAAATGACAAAAAACCTCAAGGCCATTAATCTATGACAGACTGCATTCAATAAGCGTGGAAAGTGGGTGGGTGTGGGTGGGTATGACATCAGGAAAGTCACCATAGGTGGATGTGGGTGGGCAAAGCCTGCAAGCGTAGAGCGTGGGTACCCAATGGGTACCCAACCAGGACCCCATGTATGGCTCTGGTATTCTACCTCCAATCCTATTCTCCACCTTAGCAATATTGCATGTTCTTTTGATGAGAGATTATTCTATGCGGTGTCCGAACGCATCCGAAGATTAATTTGGACACGTCATGTCATTTAATCACTGTGTATTGAGTGACGTGGTGCGTCCGGATTGGCCTCCAGACTCGTCCAGACACCGCACGTAATAATTTTTCTCTTTTGATAGGATAATGCTAGTGTTTCACTCATCTTAATTATAATGACATTGGTTATCAAGCGATGATGGCTCCTATCATCTTTTGATACCCAATAAGCAATGCTTGCCTATGCCATCCTTTAATTCCCTAACTCCCAACATCTATCAACAATTTCTCTAGTAAATCGACACCCCCTATCAGCAATTAGCATCATCATCCATAATATCATACTAAGTAACATTTGCAATCAACATCAATATATTATAAATACAACCATTTTCAATTATTAGAATGACAAACTATTACAATCGCCGACTCATATTAATGACATTATTTCAATTGGACCAAACCAAATAATTTTCTCATATTGTTGATAACTACATTTCAAAATTCTTATTATACTACAACGTTATTTATATGCGTTAGAATTTTTTTTTACAGATTATTAAAATAGTTTATTTTCAAAATTACATGGTGAAAATCCACAAATAAAATACTATAACGTGCAAAATCTTGCCAACTATGAATACCATAAGTTACATGATGAAAGTTTACCCCGTGAACAAATATATCAATTTTTGCATTAAAATTTTAATTAAAACATCAGGAAAAACTAAAAAACTTCAAATTATTTAAAATTGATATTGACAAAATATATCCTATCTTAACCCGAACAATTTTTTAATAGCCCCGATGGACAAAATTGACCCTCTGATGGACAAAATTGACCTAAGCCACCTCCAAATGAACTTTCTCTCTCTAGAAATCCACACACACTCTCTCTAGTCGGCCGCTTAAGGGGAGAAATGAAATGGCATTTTTGGAAAGTAAGTAGAATTT